CACTGTGAAATTAGTATCTGCCAATCAAAATAATTCCTGAATCTTTCACACACCCGTTCTTGTTAGTCATACATCTTGTGCTCTGTATGGGTCAACTGGAAGATCAGCCAAGAATGAGGATGGTTATTCTGACTTCTGATCAAGCAACAACACATTGTTTTTTAAACAAGACAGCAAAGACATGGTCACATGGCCTCTAAGTGAAATACCATAGAATAACCTTGTATTTTTTACCCAACAGTAATCAGACAGTCTCTGCCTCCTGGCCTGTGAACAAACCACATTATCTGTAAGCTGAACTAAATTTTGTTTATTGTTTATTTATGTATTAAAATATCTATATTTTCCCCACATATCTAGAGACTTCAGAGAGTGGTATAGACAATAAAGGAAACTTTAATAAATATAACACAGTCCAAAAGAGCCAATTATGAAAATGAATAAAAATCCATAACCCAGTAGGATGTAGCCAGTTTGTGATAACTTATCCTAATCAGCTTGAAAGCCTGGCTGAAGAACCACATTTGAACTTAATGCCCAAATGATCTTACCTTCGGTGCCAAGTGAACATCTTGGGTGAGGACACTCCATAACTTGGGTTTAATAGCTGAAAAGGGTCTCCACATAATTGTTCATGGTTTACATCCTTTTGCACAATGATAATCAACAAGAGCATTCCATCAGTTCATAGTTCATCTCCTGGATTTTTGCACGTGTATTGGGGAACTCCTTCTGCCTCACTTATTTTGCCTAAGGAGCGGATAGGTTTTGCGAACTGGTGGTCCTAACAGTCCAGCTCAATGAGGTTTTTTTAGCTGGGAAACTGTCTTGCTCCAAGATTCCACCCCACTCTAAAACTCCTATCAACTCTTGCCTGCACAGCCAGCCGTGAAGGATCACGAGAGCTTGTGAGCCAGCTGCAGCTGGCTGGCAGAGTGGTCAGCCTCCTACAACAGGAGAAATGCTCTCCCCATTACAGATACCTGGGCCCATGAAGAAGTGGTGGGGCCAGACACACCCCTCAGAGGGTGAAGGTGCTCTTGCTGAGCTAGAAATAGGAGGGGGAAGATGAGAGCTCAGGAGAGGAAGAACACACTGACACTTGGCAGGATGCCCTGGAATTTCTCACTGATGAGAACAAAGCCTCGTTACCAGGAGAGGAGCTGGGAGGGAGCCAGAGGGCCTTGCCAACCCAGGAAAGCTGATCACGTGGGGTTCAGACCCTGAGAGGGATCTGGGAAGGACAGAATGTGTCCTTAGCTCCCCTCCTTCCCCAACTGCTTTCTCAAGCTGACTCCCTGGACTGGAGGGAAGCCAGGAGGGGCCCCTGCCTGCCTGCCTGCCTGCCCTAATTGAGCAGTTTTCTCTACATGGAGGGAGTGAAGTGACTCCTGGCCATCTACTCCATTGCTGGGACTAAGGCCAGAGGCTTGAGGGAGGAGCCCGGCCATCATTGGAACTGAGAGTTTGAAGGGGCCTGAGCCTGCAGAGACATTCATCTCTGTTTCATCCCTGTGAAAACCAGAGAGGCATACGGACTGGAAGGGCAGCCGACCTCCAGGGGGCAGCCCTGTTCTTGATTCTGCTGTTGCCCAGAGAGGGTTGGTGCTGCAAGGAACCCCAGTACCCCCACATCCTGCAGGGGCTAATTCTGCAAGAACTTGTGATTATGCATAATCTTTCCACCTTTCTTTGTTCCCAATAAAGTCCCAATTCTACCACAACCTACTCCCTCATTTATCATGGAGGGAGCGATGGGGTCCGCTCACAGAGCTGTAGTTCAAAAATATATTGAGGTCTACAACTGCCCATCTCTACTCTAGGAAAACTACAAGAAACCACACTAACGTTGTTTCCATGCATGAGTGGGTGGGTATCACTCCATGCCAAAAAAGAACAAGTTCTGTTCTATAGCCTCTCTTTTTCACACAGAGAGCCGTTTTGCTTAAAGTCTCCCATATTTCTGCACTGCTCTGGTAAGCTCTGTTGTCAAAGAACAACCTCCGTGGAGCTCTTGAGAAAACAGATTTAAAAAAAAAAAATGGTTCACCTTTGTGTGAATATCTCCTAAAAGTTCCCTGAAAGGAGTGTCCCCCACACCCTGTTTTTTTTAACCCTCAGGACCACATCATCTTCCCCACTAACCATATCATGTGGTGTGCATATATATGTGTGTGTGTGTGTACATGCATGCAGTGTTTATTAATAGCCTTTTGGTGTTATGGCATGCAGTGGCTACAGCATCCACTGGGCCCATCTATATGACTCAGGTTGACCACCACCTCTCCTGGAAAAGGTACCAATGCAACCTGGAAGGAAGAATGGAAATGTTTCCATTGGAAACAGGTGGAGGGAAAGGAAAGGAAATAGCCATCACTGATGACAGGGACTGTGACTGTGATCATGCTCAACTGCACTTCCCACTTTCTGATGAAGACTGAAGAAGGCACAAATGGGGATGTACAAAAGGGGTTTCAAAGTGGATTCAAGCACTATACATTATTTTCACTCCTCTAACTGAGCTTTGGAAAGTGATAGCTTAGCCATGGGTAATCACAGTTCCAATGATGAATAATGAGTATTAATCATGTGCATTGTCTGGTGCGGATTCCTTCAGAGAAGACCCAGAGCAACTTCTTTGAGACAAACTGGAGCAAGGTCAGAGGAGAGCAGCAAGGATGATCAGGGGACGGGAAACCAAACCCTATGAAGAAAGGCTGAAAACATGGGCATATTCAGCCTTGAGAACAGAAGACTGAGGGGCGGTATGGTAGCACTCTTCAGATCCCTGAAAGGTAGCCATACAGAGGAGGGCCAGATCCTGCTCTCAATCATTCCAGAGTGCACGGCATGTAACAATGGCCTCCAGTTACAGAAAGTTAGATTTCAATTGAGTTAACGGCTCAGTTTCCTACGTTATACCTCCCTTATGCTTAACTGGACACATGAAACGGCAGAGGGAAGAAACTTTCAGGGACACTATTGAACAGGACAAAACAAAAATCTTTTCATCACTGCCTTGTAAAAGGTAGAAAGGGACATGCCAGAATGGCTGGAGAGGTGATATTATGCTCATTCACCCAACACCAACATTATCAACAAGCCTCTGGCCACACAAGAAACAGTAGCACTAGACTCAGTTTGTGCATGGATGGATTAAGGATGCAGGAAGTTGCCTTAGACTGCCTGGTACTGTACTGCCTGGACTGTATTTTCCCTGCCTTCCCTGAACCTTTCTTGACCTAAGAAAACAAGAAACAAAATATCCCCCTCTAGTGGTCGAAGGCAGAATAGCAGCTTCCCATTAGTTTCTATGGACAGAAAAGAGCAGATACGGATCAAATGGTTTTCAATGCATTCCTATGGGAAATGCAGATTTGACCTGAGAACTTTTTGACTTGAGAACCGCCTTCCAATACGGATTAAGTTCTCAAGTCAAGACCCCACTGTACCTCCCGTATGCTTAATTGGACACATGAAATGGCAGAGGGAAGAAACTTTCAGGGACACTATTGAACAGGACAAAACAAAAAACTTTTCATCACTGCCTTGTAAAAGGTAGAAAGGGACATGCCAGAATGGCTGGAGAGGTGATATTATGCTCATTCACCCAACACCAACATTATCAACAAGCCTCTGGCCACACAAGAAACAGTAGCACTAGACTCAGTTTGTGCATGGATGGATTAAGGATGCAGGAAGTTGCCTTATATTGGGTTAGAACATTGATCTGTGTAAGTCCATTGTTGTCAGCAATGACTCGCAGCAGCTTTCCAAGGATGCAGGAGAGATTCCTTCCAACCTCTATCTGGAAATTCCTGATTTTTCCTGGTGGTCTCCCATTCAAGTACACACCAGATGTTCTTAGCTTCCAAAATCAGACAGCCTCAGGTTGTTCAGTGTGATACAAGTGATTCTGCTGTAAGTATTGTGTTTTTTTAAAAAGAGAGTGATAGGTCTGTATTAGGAAGGTTGTGGCGAGGGACAAATATGGGAGTGCAAGTGGTTGCTTTGGACCTTACGTGCAGTCTGAGGTGTACATGAGTTGCATCAATATTGATAATCATGACTAGTGAGGAAGCACCCTAGACAATAAGCTCAACCTGCATGGGTCTTTCCTTTGGCAGCAGGCCAATGTATTAAATGTATTAAATGTATTAAATGTATTAAAGTGCTGCCACCAGGGAGATTTGATTGGTACCTTTGTTTTTAAGTTTAAGGCACCCATTCAATTTTTTTTTGGTTCACATGGGTCTTTTAATTGAATAGTGAATAGACAAGATAATGTGTTTTGTTTGTTTTTTTCTGTCTTAATGATGCATGGTTTTATTACGCTGTTTTTGTTAGCTGTGGCTATTAGTTTGCTTCTGTGTTTTTGGTTTTTAACTGTTTTTGTCTGTGGCGTATGCTTTTTAAAAGCATAATTCTGTTTAAAGTATAATTTTTTGTTACATTGCTATGCTTTTATGTTTTGTTACTTCCTTTGGGAACTTGCCTCGCACGTTGCCTCTCAGTTTGACAAGTGAGATAAAATTAGGCCCAATAAATAAATAAATAGATATGAAAAATGTACAGTGGTTCAGGCTGAGCTATTTAACTGAGACATCACTGTTAGTCCTAAGAGTACGGTGAATGAGTGTCAGTGAGCTGAGAAAGACCTTAGGACAGACGTGTCTAAAAGAATTAGCGGGATCCATACCTTCTGGTTTAAAGTATGGGCTAAAACATCAGAGTTTGCCTATCTCCAGTTCTTGCCTGCAAAAGTACATCAAAGCATATTGGAAAATGAATGTTTAAAGAAAAAATAATTTAGATGTCCATACATTTGAGATTAAATATATATTGAAAATGCATACTTCAGGATAACATAATTTAGAAATTTCTATATCTAGCTATATAAGTTTACAGCTGTCTAAGTTGTGAGAAAATCTATTCAAAATGGATATTGAAACATATAAAGGAAATATGAAATATATTAATTTAAGTGGATTTTTAAAATGCTTAAAACCACCATGATAATATACAGATGTGTGGACGAACCATGTGGAATCAACAAGCAAGAGCTCAATCCTTCTATAACAAAATATTGCCTTAAAATGGAAGCTTCCAAACCATTGTTCATTTTTGGGCCATTATACAAGTTTTTTGCTCAAAATTGTTTTGTTTGCGTGCTTAGTGTTCTTGCAGGATCTTGACACTACCAGGTTCTTTAAATATACAATTCCTTAAAAGAACTACAAAAGATTCACATGCTATAAAGAGATTGTTCTGTCACAGTGAGAGGGAATAAGCATTTCACAAACAAGCTGCCCTGGAATAATTCCTGACAGCAGTGGGACAGATCTCATATTCTGCTTCCCTATCAAAGCAACATGCTGATTTCTTTCTGCTAACCCAGACTTTGTCAAGTGAGTATTAATGAGTTTAGTTTAATACTGTTTGCCACTATAACTGCATGCAAATAGCCTCTTGAAATTCTTATTCTGTTTCTGGGAAGATAAATTGTTGGGACTATATCACCCAGTTATTTTCAGAAGAACAATTATCCAACAACTAATCAGAGGTGAGAATCAATAATAGCTCTGACTGTAGCACAGCGTTGTCCTTTTTCCCCAAATGATTTCTTTCTGGTACTGGCATTGCAAGCAGCAGCAACAGCAACTATGCTGGCAGTCAGATTCCCACTTTTTCCACAGGACACTGGGTGATGACCACAGATGGGCACAAATTGGAAAAAAATAGCAATTTGTTGTAATTTGTAATTCATCAAGGTCGATGAATCATGAATGTGCATTTTTCCCAACGCATCGATGAAACAATTTGTTGATTTGTCTTTACTTTAAAATGTTATCAAATGTCTCCCATATACCCAGAGAAATGAAATTCACAGCGAAACTTCTCCTGATTCTTCTCTGCAAGCTGCTTGGTGAGCTTTAGATTTCAGATGTCCAAGTTATACACCAACAAATTGGGTTTCATCAGGAAAGTGCTCCCCAGGCACCTAGAGATAAAAAATTAAACAGAAAGATCACCTGACTCTCCTCTACAGTCCCTCCAAATTTCATGAAATTTGGGTTTTGGATGTCCAATTTATACACCCACAAAGTGGGTAACCCCCCCCCCCAGGAAAGTGACAGAGGCATCTCACATAATTTGCCACCAAGGCACAGAGGTGGATGGCATTGAGGTAGGAAGGCATTGAGGTACTTTATTTCGCTACCAGGCACAGAGGTGTTTGGAAGAGATGTACTTTCGTTTGCTAACAGGCACGGAGGAGTTTGGAATGGATGTACTTAGTTTTCCACCAGGTAAAACATTTGTCACTTTGTATTCATCAGGATTTCTGTATTGAATGAATACAAAGTGATGAATTCTTGATGAATCTGCAATTTTCAATGAATATTGCAATTCATTTTTTATTTGCTCCCATCTCTAGTGGTGATGAACATGTAGCCAATAAAATAAAATTAAAAGGTGTACAATTTTGTAATAATTCTGTAATAATTTTTCTGTTTCCAGGAGAATGAGAAAAAGAACACTCAAAATGTTTTTCAGAAAATTACTTTCTGAGAAATTTGGCTTAACACTTGTCACTTTTCAGGATTTAGCAGCTTCTTCAGGATTTCCAAACCATGCGTTTTTTGGAGGGACCATGGTAGATATACTTTATCTTTACTACAGATGCTAATAATATAGTTCTTCTCTCTAAGCATTGTACAGTAACTGATATGAGGGGTTGTAGTGTAGCAAGAAAGGGCAGAAGCTTTTACTGTGTCATAATTTGTCCCCTAATTTTATTTCCCCATGAAAGATGCTTCAATTTTCAGGTCCCGCTAAAATTTCTATTGACTATGTTTTTGAGCTTACCGGAACACTGACACCTCCTGAGTAGAAAAAGTCCTGTGGCCCTCCAAAAGGTCCAATTGTGGGCTTATCCACATTAGCCCTTTTGGTAGGCTGGTGAAGTCTAAATAGGGTCACTTGGATGGAAGTGTGATATGCCGTTTGGTGTGATCATTTCTTTGCTTTGCCTGAAGTTCTCCTTCAGAAACTGCCTGCAGCTGATTTTTTTTTTAAAAAGCTATCTAAGTGATGTAGCACATGTGATGAGATCTAGCACAGTGGACTGCAACTCCCAGAAGCCTTCACCATCAGCTCTGCTGGCTGAGGTTTCTGGGAGTTGCAGTTCAAAAACACCTGAGTAACAAAGGTTAAGAACCACTGATCTAGCAGACTAAAAAATAATAATTTCACTTTCCTCCTCTGAAGAGCAGAGAAAGTGTTCAATTTGCCAATATCCTGAAGTGGCTCACTTATTAAACCATTTCATGATACCAGTAAGGTACCATTTCATGATACAGCAGAAGGAGCCTTGACAGCTTAAGGCTTGCTTTGTTACATTAAATTACAGTGGCATTTTTAAGAAATAATTTTCAGTTTCTGTGTTTCTCAAAAGTAACTGAAATGGATCTTTTTAGTTATGTTTAAACAAACCCATCTGAATGCTGCAAGCCATTGGCACATGGAATGAAACATCATCTCTTTCTGTCTACCTTGCCATCAGCCCAACACCTAGAGGGACAGAACAGAAGACAAAAACATGAGCAAGTAGTTCAACCAGTCCTTCTCCATTACTGACCAACATATCTAGAAAAGTAATTAGAATGTTATAGTTGAATTGCAAAATGTGTGGATTTATCACTCCTTAAGCTGAAGTCATTATATGATGCAGTTACATCTTTTCTATCAGGAAAAAATAATTAATAACAAGTAACTGCTAATTTGTAATGATTTCCGGAATGTTAGCCATGTTAGTCAGTTGCAGCCAAACCAATGAAAAGTCTTGTGACACACACAAAAAAACCCAACAGGTTTTATTTGGCATATTTTTTTCATAAACTCACCTCTTCAGATGTATCAGATGAAATTGACTTCAGTCCACAAAAGCATATGACAAATGAAGTCCTTAAGATGCCACAAGATTTATGTGCAATGGATTACTTCTTTAAAAAATCCAAAGGGTAGCCATGTGGTCATTATTTTCTACATGCTGTTTCTTTTCTGCTGTTAGCTAACCCTGTCTCAATTCAGCCTTTCTCCTACGTTTTACATATCTCTCTGGAATGCCTCTGGAAACGGATCTTGGCCCCTGTCCAGCACAGGCTGTTTCTGCCGAATCAACTTGTTCAAGGCCAAACCAGACATGATGTTTGCCATGTGGTTTGGCCTCAAGTGGTCGATTTCCATTCAACAAAGAGTCATAGGAGTCAGGAAATAAGGACAACGGACTGAGGATGAGCATCTCAGTTCCTTGCCTGCACAGCAGTTCAAATATGATTTGCCCACCCCATAGGTCTGCTATTTACAATGGGAGAGAAGCTCCTAAGAGTATCAATAGCTGCTCTCTACCCCATAGTGAAGTGCTGGCATGCAGGGACACCACCACCCCATCCTATTCTGCTCACTGCTTTGGACTGGCAGTTTCTTAACATAAAAATCAACCACACTTTGTTTTCACCCAAAACAAAAACAAATAAACAAACAAAAAACCCCAAACAAACCAGAGCTTGGAAAAAGGCAGGGCCTATACTGGATCAAGATCAATTTCCAGAGCATTTCCAAAAACAGCACTGAACTTATTAGTCATGCATTCTTATGAGAAACATGTTACTCAGAGATCAGGGGTGACAAATAACAGAATGCATTATTAAAGCATTACTATCTTTTTTATCTTTAAGGGGGGAAACCCACTAAAATGGTCAGCTTCTTTGAATCCTCTAACGAAAAGTAATGTTTCTGCAATAACAAATATGACTCATTACAGAAACTCTGCAAATGTTTGCCTTTCCCCCTTAAAATATTTAAAAGTAATGATGTTGGCTCTCATTAATCTGAAAAGTGGCATAGTTAAATTTTAAAATGTTATTACCAAGCAATGTGACTACTTTTAATGTGTTACCTCCAAGCCCTGCAAAGAAATCTAAATCCATCCTTCTGAAAATTCAATTTCTACAGAAGCACAAGGAGCAGGACAACATCTGGGAAGCACCTGAATTTATTTATTTATTTATTATTTTGATTTGTCAACCATTTATGTACAGAAAATAATCTCAGATATTTGTACAGGTTTTGTATTCTGGGAACTTAAAAAGCAGTAAAAAAATTATTTTAAAAACCATTAATATCCTTCTTCATCTGCTCTGACTTTTCCCGTCTTGCATAGTTCTTGGCTCCCATCTCCTCACCCTCTCTTCTTCCATATCTACAAGCCCCCAGGTAGCTACAAAGCCTCCAATGATATCTATCATGGCAGCCCAGGGTAAAACTGGAATAACCACACAGTGACTAATCACACATGTAATAAGAAGAGACAGATCTTTGTCCACCAATGAGATTTACAGACCATTCAGCAACTTCTCTCCAGGAATTCTCAGCTCAGAAGATAGAGAAAATAAGACTAAATCTCATCCCTTCAAATTAATTTACATTGGTGAGAACAACAAATCCTGCCTGAGCTATAATTTTGCTTCATCGCAGTCTGCTTCCACCCCCACCTCCCCAAAAATGATAAATGATATGTAGATAGTCAAACAGCAGAGAATAAGAAAGAGGGAGGGAGAGAGAAGTGCTGCTGGGCTGATATATTTGCTTTCTTTGGATTTGTGAAGACATTGTGATACTGTTGGCCTCTCAAGCTTTTGTAGCACCTCAGACTGGAAATCTTGCAGACTGGAAATCTCTCCATTCTCAGAAATAAAAAGAAATACAATCTTAATACATTATGTTATGAACCATTTGTTGCCCTTTAATGATACCCCCAATCTGCATCCTGAAGTAACCACTTCATTCTGCCCAGTGATAGACCAGTCTTAATCATTATTCTGACTTCATTTGACCAGAAAAGCAGGCATAATAATAAGTTCAGGACGGCATTATCACTTGAGCAACACTGCAAATATTCTGACCTTTTCACCTTCCTTTCCCTTTTCATAATCTGATTTGCACTTCTGGGCTTCTTACCTTAATCAGTTAGTTAATTGTTTTCTCCCCACACTATAGGTTTGCTCTGGATGTTCACAGGCATATTGCAGACAATGGTGCCATTAGCTGACCATGCCTTCTGGGCATGTGAATGAATACCAACACAAACAGGCTTCTGTTTTCCCTGCACTGGCCAGGTTAACCCTGCATGCCACTCACTGGTGCCTTTCACCCAGCACTGAAATACAGCTGCTGCTGCTGCCACCACTGCCTAAGCATGAGGGACTCTTTTCATTTCAGTCTAGCTGGTCTATAAATACAGTAGTTAGGCTACTATCTGTTTCCTGATACAAACATTCCATTCTTGGATAAAGTGTTATTCTTTTGGACTGTATGGCTGGGAATGCAAATGATAGCAAGAATAGGATTTTTCCGGGTGAGGTTTTTATAGTTGCAGAAACAATGTTTGTTTTCGAAAAAGGAAGCAGAGTCTCTGAGAACAACACCCTTTCATTTGAAACCGTTCTTCTCCAATTTCTGGGGTTTAGGGTCTAATTGAGGAGAGGGGAGGCCTCTCTGCACATGCTCAGATACATTTGTCATTGTTAATAATTTATAGGGAGGTGGGTGGGTCTGAGTCCTGAAGATCGGCCCTCTCTGTGAGGTACTGTGCACATGGTGTGCTGCGGGACTTAAAAATCTGAATTCAGACTTCTCCTCAGTCGTTGGTTGTTGTGGGTTTTTCGGGCTCTTTGGCCGTGTTCTGAAGGTTGTTCTTCCTATCGTTTCACCAGTCTCCGTGGCCGGCATCTTCAGAGGACAGCACTCTGTGCTCTGGTGTAGTTGGCTTGGGAGTGCAGTATATATGGCTATGAGATAGGCTTTTGTCTTTTTCTGTAGATGGGTGATTAGTGTGTCTTGTTGTGGGTGTATTGTTGTGCTAAGGAGAAGAGATTATCTCTCACTGTGGTTGATGGGTGTCATTAGTTGGTCTTTTGTGTGTAGTGATCCCCTGTCCTTGTGGCTGGGTAGAGTTTGTTGACCTTTTGCACGCTGTATTTTTGAGAGCTGGGAGCCAAGTTTTGTTGAGCTTCACACTTTCCTCTTTTTTGTTGAGACCGGTGAAACGTTAGGAAGAACAACCTTCAGAACACGGCCAAAGAGTCCGGAAAACGCACAACAACCATTAGATCCAGGCCGTGAAAACCATCACGAATACATTCTCCTCAGTCATTAAGATGATGGTGGTGGGGTTGTCTAGTCATACCCTCCAAGCCTAACCTACCTGTTCTAAGTTAAATGGAGTGTTTACCTTCAGTTGTGGCCAGGGAGGGATAGAGGGAGGGGGGAAGAATGGTGAGTAGTGAGAGGAAACATTGCACTGGTTTTGTGATGAAGGAGGAGCCCAGAAAGTTTACAAGATACTTCTTATACAGAGAAAGAGCAAAAAGTGGACGCCAAGGTTTTTATTCAACAAATGTTTCCAAGTTCACAAACCAAGCTACACACCAAGCTTGAACCTTTAGACTACAGCTCCTATCGGTCCCAGACAGTATGACTGTCAAAGAGTATGGCTATTGTAGTGTAAAGGATGTGGAGGAGTTACACCCATTGTTGTAACTTCATCAGTGTACATTTCAGTAACAAATTGCTTCAGCTGAGAAGTCACCATAGGCAGTTGTTATTACATGCAAGTGTCTTCAAGGAGTTACTGCGAGTGGATTCAAATCCAATGCTTGGGTTTTCCCCAGACCTCTCAGCCACAAATGAGGAAACTTCAGGTTTAATGATCAAATCTTTATTTAACTACAGAGGTACTTACCCCATTACCACTTCCTCAGGTCCTTCATCATACAACAGTGGTTGTTTCTTAGAAATACTATTAGATATAAAAGTCAATGAGCTAGTAGGGTTTTCTGGGGTACTCCACCAGATCGTTTAGGGCAGTGGTCCCCAACCTTGGGCCTCCAGATGTTCTTGGACTTCAACTCCCAGAAATCCTGGCCAGCAGAGGTGATGGTGAAGGATTCTGGGAGCTGTAGTCCAAGAACATCTGGAGGCCCAAGGTTGGAGACCACTGCTTTAGGGGAGGTGAACACTTATGAGAGTTAGCGATGCTGGGTCCTCTGATAAGCATAATAGATCCATCTGTCCCATGGCTCCCTTTTCTCCTACTCCTTCACTTTCTCTCCACTCTCTAGCTCTCCCCTCCTCCTCTGTTAATCCACCCTCAGCCATCTTTCTCTCCTCTCTCTTTTCCCTAGCTTTCCACTCCAACTTTCTCTTTTCCCTCTCCTCTGTTTCTCTCCAATAAGAGGATTTCCTTGGTATATGCCTATTCTTTCTCTTCTCTGCTTCCTTCTTATTCACTCAGAAAGTAACCCATTCCCTGCCCAGGAGTAACCCATTCTATATATTCCCAACCTTCTACTGTATTAGCTCAGTCTCAAGATCCTCTCTCCCTTTCCTTTCTTATCCTTTCCCTTTTATATCTCTCCCCCCCCCTTCTTCTCCCTTTCCTGGTTTTGTCCTGTCCCTTCTCCTCATCTTTCGTTGGGTTTCCCATTGTTTCCTTTTTCCTGCCTTTGTCATTGTTGGCCATTAGTGAGATATTTCCTGGGCTTTCCTCACATTTCTGAGCTATCTGTGTTGGGGGAGAATTCAGCCCCATCATTAATGTCCCAATCTCAATTGGTGAGCTGTAAATTTCATATCCTTTCACGGCCGGGGCATAGGATGGTGGCACACTCATGGGAAGGGCATCTGTCTGACCACTTTTCTCACAATTACACTGGCATAAATGGGTAATAGGATTCTGGCCACTAATTGTCTACTTTTGTTCTACCGTGAGTAATCACACCAAAGTGCATACAACTGTTATAGATGTACATTCATCCTTTGTGTATATATACACCCTTGAATCCATCCCCTTTTGTTGTGTTTTGCAAAAGAGTAATAATGATAATGGTAATCCTGATGATGAATACAAAAGAAACAAATATTTTGAACTGAGAAGCAGAAGATCTGCTCTAAACTAAAACATGATTGGAGCAGTGAAAGGGGTGAACTCAGGCAGCTTGGTGGGAAAGAAAATAGAGATGCTTGAATGAAGAGAAAGATGCATGGACAATTCAGTGTTTCCGCCAAACACAAATCGGTGTTTGGCTGAAACAGAGCAGGCAGAAAGGATTTTTAGATGTACATAAAGTAGAATGGTAATGGGAGAGGGTGGGGGGAAATGAAAGGGTTAGGTTAGGACAGTAACTGTGAGACGTCACAAGACACACAGAGGAGCAGAAGGCATAATTGAATGATTGGGGAAAGGGGGAAGGGAGACTCGGGAGAGCTTTAAAACACACACACACACAAACCTCTCCAACTCTGTAATAATGATGTTTTTCATTCAGCTCTTTCGGCTCTTTTCTCTGAATAGCTGGAAATGTTCCAGTTGTTATGAAGAGGGATATTACATATCTGCTGCAATCACAAAGACCCTGTTAAGATAAATGTTGGCTGATACAAGCAGTAGCCTTTTTGCAGTCTCTACAAGCTGGGATAACACTCCCATTGTTTGCTTGATTCTTTTGCCTTTTCCCTTGGGGTGGCTGGGGGTGGGGATGAAAGGGGGGGTGAACATTAAAACTACAGTGGCTCTTTCGCCTTAGCAGTGCTCCACTTCCTCCTCTGCTCCCCTGTCTCCCCCCAAAAGGTATCCTGTGAGATTTGTTTATAGCAGCTTCATTGACCTACAGAGCAGGAATTAAAGAAGAAAAAAAGGTGTTCATTTCCAGTGATAAGAAGCTGTGCTTGCAGGGGTCCATACTCTATTGTTCTAAAAAAGAAAAGCAAGGGGTAAAAGGAAAACATCAGTCTACTCAAATATGGTAAAAGCCATTTATGAAGTTAGTGATTCATTCCAAGTGGACCAAAGGACAGCCAGCCTTACCACCAGGCTGAGCCAGACAGACAATTTAGGCAGTCAAATGTGGGTCTTTCGCCTTAGTAGCAGCTAGTAGCTATATGGTTTGTTATCCCTGTGTTTTGATTGCTATGGATAAAGGAGAGGCATTTGTGGGATTTTTTCTGCCTCAACAGCTATGGTAATATCTCTGACCTTGAGTATTATGAGATTTGGCCTAGACAGTTGAGATTGGAGTGGTATTGGCTCCTCTGCCTCAGGCAGCAAAATATCTCGGGCCAGCTCTGGGCAAAAAGGGGTTAATATCATTAGAAATCCCCGATTCTCATGCAGCTCTGCTGCGACAATGCTTGTTCTGTTATTGAGCCAAATTTGATGCGATGTTAAATGTCTCCTTGTATTTAATATGCAGGACTTTTTAAAAAAAAAAATGCAAGTGGCATCAGCTGGGGAGGAGATGATAATTAACAGCATCAAAGCAGGCACAGAGGGATAATTTAACTCTTTGTTCCAATGTGTTCACCCTGAGGAAAATCACTCTTCTGAAACATGACGGAGAGAATAATCTCCCACTGACTCCAATGGAATATATTTCCCCAGTGGAGTCCTAACCTCAGAAGAAGGATTTTCTTCAATCACAGCAAGCGAGGAAAGGATTAATAAATCCCCCCTCACTGCCTTCTCTGATCCCACCAACAACTCTTGCTATTTATATTTCATAGGAAAGCTTCAAAAAATAAAGAATGAAAAGCCTCACTTAACCATATTTAACTTGGCCCACAATGGAAAGCCAGTCCATACACTGGGAAGTGTGAAGTAGCTGCTTCAGGCAGCGTATGTTAGGTTGTTTGCAGTTAATTATTAGTACTGCTATTACTATGGATAGATCTAATTGTTAGTTCTAATAGAGAACATCCAGTGGGCCTACACTCACTCATATGTTTTTATGTTCAGGAAGTGGAGGAGATGCTCTGGGGATTTTGTACCATTGGTTACCAAAAGGGATTAGCTGGTTTTGAATGCTAGATCGACTGAGTGTGGGGAAATTTGTTGCTCTGTCTCAGGCAGCAAATGGGCTCATGTTGGCTACAGAGTACAGGAAACACATCCTCCTTTGGGTTAAATGATAGAAGGTGGTTCCTGGGAACAGACAAAATGTCCTAGTCCTCCAATTGATTGTGGTATTTGCAAATTATTTCAAAAATTTCAAATCATTATTGCTTCCTGGGAAGAATTTCCATGAGCAATAGG